GAATTTAAAAGCATTATTTTTTTTAATAACTTTCATCCCACATATTATATATTTAACATGTTTAAACTGATCATTATTTTGTAAATAAGTTTGAAAAATAAGCATTATTAGAAAAAAAGAACCCTCCAATCTTAAATTATAAATATTAAAAAACATTTCTAGATTGAAAGGAAAAAAGAGGATGTTAAATCAAGTTACTTTATAAGAAAATGTTAAAAAAAATGGAGACCTATTAGAAACCTTTCCTAAATTTTTAATTAATCATATTTGAGACTTTTAATATTAATAGATCTATTAATTGATATATATGTCAATTACCACTCAATTAAATTAATTAGGTCGGGTTAAACTTGTAATTATATATATAGACTTGCTTTATAAGAAAAGACAAAAGAAGAGGGAAAAAAAAAGGCAAATCACATGTAGCTAATTGGTTGGTGTGAGGAATTAAATCTTTATCTTCTCCCCTTGGGTGAAGTGAAAGGCCAAAAAAGGCCCCATGAATATGCCTTGAAGTGACTGTCAATGCCATGGCATTGCCAATTAATTTCCAAAAGCTTTGCAATTTGCACTTCTTGATGCCCTCCTTGATTTTAGGCACCAACCAAACACTGCCTTTTCCAAATTTCCCATCAACACTATCCCTATCTCTTAGAGTGAACCATACGTTTTGCAAGAATTTTTTTGGTCAGTCCTCAATTGCAATACTAAACAAGTCATTGTAGGTAACTCACTCACACTCTCGTTTCTTAATTTTGTTCTGAGATTTTCTTCTTTCATTGTCCAAGTAATTAATTTTGTCATAATCTCTCTTTGAAGACGATAATTTTTCTTATCTATTTAGATTTAATCCGAGCAAGCTAGTACATTTATTCTCATGTTGTTTTAGATTCTACCGTGTCAATTTTTCTGTTTAAAATGTTAATGGATGTTTGCTCCAATGATATTTTGAAACTTTTAAGAAAGATCAAAGGTAGCATTAAAACGTTTGAAATGATAAGGATATCTTTTAAGCAAATGGCAAAGTTTAAGGGTATTTTTGTAATTTAGCCTTTTTCCAAAAAATAAATAATTATATTTCATTTTACTTTCAAATTTTGAAATTTCTAGTTTTGTCCTAAAATTTTTGAAAGAATAGTTATTTTAATCCTTATTTTTCCGTTTTTTTTTTTTGTCAATTATTTTAATGACTTTTGAGTTCAACCCGGAGTGAGGAATTACAAAAAACAAGTTATTTCAAGCCAATAAGTCAGTCATATTGTTTTTTACGACATAATTTCATTCTAGTCCCTCAACTTTTAAAATGTCTAGTTTAGTTCTTAAACTTGAAACAAAATTAGCTATTTTAGTCCTTATTATTTCTTTTTAAAGGCTTTTAGTCCTTATTGTTATTTTTTGTCGATTATTTAATAGATGAGTAGCAAGGAAGGAAATTAAGATCGTCCCCCTTAATTTATCTTACATATTTTAAAAAATCCATATATATGGCAAACTTTTTAAATTGAAAGATTATACATGGTCAAATAAGAGGTAAAACTTTGCCCCTGATGACAAATGAAAATTTATGGCTTAACGCTTGAATTTGAGTATTAACCTGTTGAGTTACACATCTATCTAAACTAGTTTAGATAGACAAAAATTAAAGGCAAAGTAAGAGTAAGAAGAAGAAATGTTTTTTAATTAACCGCTGATTAAATTTGATAACGCCAATAATGTGTTTTTATTTTAAGTATTATAATTTGATTTGGGTTAGATATTGATTAAATATAGTAATAACGTGCCAAAGCAAGTGTAGAGCTTAATAATTGCTATATATTCCTCACCCCACATGTTGGAGATTGTGAGATAGCTATAATCGTTTTGACATGTATAACTTCTTACTATATATTTGCAATTGTTATTTTAATTCTTAATTTTCTTTAAGTATTTTGATTATCGATCCTAACACATTAGTAATTACAAAAAAAATTTCTCATATGTTGTCAATAATCAATAGTCTCTATCATGAATGAAAAAGTTTTTAAGAAAAAAAAATTTAACTTCTTTCAAATATGCTACCTCATCAAATTGACGTGGACTTACTAATTTATTGTCAATATTAATAAGATTTAACTAAATAAATAGATGGAGAAAAAAAGGACAAGAAAAAAGTGAAACATCGAAAGCAACTTGGTCAATAATAAAAATAAAATGAATGCTTTTGGCGTTGTAAATTAGATGCTACTTTTTGGGACAGTAGAAAAGGCTACCAAATTTGAAAGAGAAAAAAAAAACAGAGCNGTAAATAAATCCTTCATGATTGAGATCCACTCGTATTATATTTTGACAGCTTTTTCATCTTTTGCTTTTTTTTTCCTTTCTTTCTTTCATTTATCAAAAAGTAAAATTTTTAATAACAATATTATTTCTCGGTTAAAATAGTACTATTTTAACCCCTTCTACTTTTGATTTTGATTTATTTTAATCTATTTATAATGAAAAATGAAGAGAACAATGAAGCGTAAGCAAGAGAGAAATAGTACAAAGAATAAATTCTATTCATTAAATTGAAAATTGTTACAAGTATTTATAACGAAAAGTAATAATCGACCACTGCTCTTCAAATTTTATCTAACCAACGCAATACCACAACTCAGCTAAGCCACTAGGCCTACAAACCACAATAATCACCGAGCATAACTCTAAAATGTGGAAACACTAACAACGAACTAACACATGTTTGCATTAATTTTTAGCGCTATCTACTTTTAAAACGTTTGTTTTAGTCTATGTACTTTCAATTTTTGTTCATTTTAGTTATTGTACTCTCAAAACGTCTAATTTTGGTCCCGTACKTTTAAAAAGTGACCAATTTAGTCTATATATTTGCAAAGTTTTAACCCAAATTTCATATACAACGAAAATTCTTTAATACAAAATTTATGGTTACATTTTAACAAATTGAGTGAGTGAAATGTTATGCTAAAACTATTATCGGAAGAAATGAGATAAAAATGAAAATAGACTAAGATGGTCACTTTTTAACTACAATGATTGAATTAACGTTTCGAAAGTAAAGAGATCGAAATAGACGTTTTGATAGTAAAAAATCAAAATAAACTAAAATGTGGGATAAAAGTTTGAACCTTCAATCTTGTAAAAACTATTGGTGTCTTCACTCTCGAATTATATTTACGTTGGCTTTGATGGTTGTATGTAATTAGTTCTAAACCAGGAGGAACTAATCTTCAATACTGTTAAATGTTTGATAACTAAGAAAAACAAATATAAAAACAAATATTTTTTTWAAAAATAGAATTAGTTGTCAATTTTTCAGTGGTGATGAGAATAAAATTCCTCCTTACCGTTAAGAATTCAAAGTTTACGTTTCTTTTTATACAATATGTAGAGGTGGGAATTCGAACTTATAACTTATTGGTTGGAAATAGGTGTCATARCTCATTGTTACGTTCGGTTTGGTACTTATTTTTTTCTTTTTTAATACTGCTTTTAGTGGTAAATTTGGCAATAATTTTGTAGTTGGAATACAATCAATGATAGAAGAATAAGTGATAAAAGCTTGCGATTGTCAATGGCATGGAATATGACTGTCGTGTAAATGCCGGTAACAATAACAATGACACCCATACTTTTTTATTGCTTTGTAAAATTTATTTTCTTAATTGTATTTTAAATTTTTTATTGAAGCAAATTCAATGTAAGTTTCGTATCATTTGGTAGCTCAACTAATTAAAACATGTACTTTAGACTCACTAAAAAATCGTGAGTTCGAATATTCGCTCCATAAAATACTGTACTAAAAAATATTGGTATCGTTTTTATATACATTCTAAAATAGATAATAAAATTTATGAAAATTATCACTAAATACATTCAAAAGCTAAAAAGTACAATTATTATCAACAATAGAAAGAAAAAAAAAGTTCGACTAATTATTGAATCGTTTTTTATTTTGGATTTAGATTTTTTTTTGTTCTTAAATCAATAAGTAGAGTAGGAATTCGAACGTCCAATCTTTTGGTGGATGATATATTCTTAACTAGTTGAGTAAGTTTATAAATACATAAAGTGTTTCCGTTTTATTTATTTGTTTGATTTCTTATGAAAATTTTAACTTAATAATTTAATAATTACATTTTAAAAGAATAAAAGCTARATTTTTATACAAATAAATAAATAGTTTAAACTTTTCTATTTAATATTTCTTTTTATTTTAATCTTTCAACTTTTAAAATATGTCATATCAATCTTTGAAATTTTGTCAGAAAGAATTATATATTTTGGTGATCTATTAATTTTTTTAATACAATAAATTGAGACGATGATTTCAACCTTTAATCTGAAAAAAAGGAGTATATATTAATTACTACTAAAATATGCTCCGTCATTTTRATCGTTGTTATTAACTTATTATCTACCTTAATTAATATCTATCCGAATCTATTATATGGCTCTAATTCATGTTCGTGTTTGCATTCACACGTATCGAAATCCATTTTATTCATACCTCAAATACAATGAGAGTAAAAATTTACAGAGAAAGTAAAAACGGTGTAAATTAAAATAGATATTTTAAATTTTTCATAATAAAAAATAGAATAAACCTAAAAATTTTAAGAATAAAATAGATATTTGAAAATTTTAAACRGGCAGAATCCAAATAAAAATTGAAAGGCAAGCAATCAAAATATAAAAAATCAAAATGGTTGCATGAGAGCTTCTTTTTTAAACAATAATTTCCGTAATCATCTAGATATCTTTGAAAGTAGAAAATAAAAAATTGAAATAAAAACTCAAGAACTCAAAAGTCAAAAAACGGAACAGAGACTTTAAAAGAAAGACAAGCCAATCATATATCTCCAGGTCAGACTAACAAATTAAATGAAATCCCACGTCATCGTCTTCTAGAATCTCTGGACTTTCTGGCCCACGATCTGCCCGTTCGAAAATCTCTCTCCCATTTTTTTTTTTCTCGAGAAAGTGACAGAAAATCAAATAGAAAAACAAGGAACCCCACGAGAGTCGCCCACGATAATGACTCTGTTTCTACAGTCCTCCCACTGCCACAATCGTACCGCAATCTCCATATTCTCCTCTCCAATTTTCCTCTCTCTTTTTCATTCACGCACGAGCGAGCAGAATCATGATCGGTTCCGGGCGAAGACTGTTGGAGAGCCCTCTCGAATCCCCGGATCTTAGGGCTTGGAACGCCATGGAATTTGATTCCAGACCGGCTCTGAACCACGAGATCTTCAGGAGCTGGAATGGCAGGCAGATTCATCTGAGGGACGAGGCGGTGGAATTGGAATCTGGATTTCGTTTGAGCCCTCAACGGAGCCCTCAGTTCTACCGATCGAATTACCAGAGCCTGTCGCCGCCGTCGAAGGCTCGCGCCATAGCTACTGGACAGAAGGAGCTCATGGAAATGGTGAGCCATATGCCGGAGTCGTGCTACGAGTTGTCGTTGAGAGACCTGGTGGAGCAGCCTAGGGTTTTGGGGCTAGAAGAAGAAACTGTAGCTGATGAGAGGGATTTCAATTTGGGCGGGGATCGAGAGATTTTCGCGATGGAGAATCGGAAATCGAAGAAGGGAATTAGTAGGCCATTGGTTAGTAAGAGTACAGGGAATATGGAGAACGGAGGTTTGTATCTGAAAATGGGATTTCCGAAATCTATTGGAACGACTAAGAAGAAGAAGAAGAAGAACGATTCTGCGTTGAATACGAGTGCTAAAGTTTCGCCTAAACCTCCTCCTCCTGCGGACAAGGATTGGTGGAAGAGAAGATTCTCAGTTTCATCTGAGAGTGAAAGCGTTGGTTATGGTTCGAGTATTAACAATGGAAGCATCAAGAGCAGTAGCAGCAGCAGCAGCAATGGCAGCCATGGCAGCAACAAGAACAGAACAAAATCCGCCCGCAGGTAACACCATAACTATCAATCTGTGGTTTCTTTGGTTCACTCCGTAATTTTTTACTTGAGAAATGAACGTTTAGTTGATCTTCTGAGTTGAAATGAAGAACAGATGAATTCACCATTAAATAGAATAATTAATTTCTAATCTGCATCATTTTGGGTGGTGAAATTTTTCAAGACGTCCTGTTATGCACTAGTAACATAAGAATCTGCTAAGTTGAAGATGAATGATTTTTCTCTGAAATGAAGAACAGACAAATTCGCCATGATCGTACTCTAGTAATGTAAGAATCTGCTTTGTTGAAGATGAATGATTTCTCTCTGAAATGAAGAACAGACAAATTCACCATTAAATAGAGAATCGTTTCTACTCTGCTCTGCACTATTTTGGGTGGTAAAATTCCTCAAATTGTTCATGCACAAATATCTCAAGAATCTGCTCTGTTGGAGATGAATGATTTTTCTCTGAAATGAAGAACAGAGAAATTCACCACCCAATAAAATTATTTTTCCCAAGTTCTTCATACACTAGTATCATAACAATCTGCTGAGTAGAAGCAAATTCACCATTGAATCAATCATCTCTACTCTGCATCATTTTGGGAACTAAAATTTCTCAAGCTGTTCATGAATCAGTAACATAAGAGTCTGCTGTAAACTGGGTTCATCATCATTCATTCATTCATTATTATGAATCATAATTTAATCTACAGGAACACAAGTGGAGGTTGCTGGTCATGGATTTATTCAAAATAAAATACTATGAAGGAGATGAATGAAGAGGCTGCTGCTCTGCCCTCCACTCAAAAAAAGCTAAACCAGAAGCCATAGGTATATGAAGATATGGAAATGGAAGCATTAATCTTACAGCATATGTAAATTCCTTCCAGTTTTTCAACAAAAATGCTTCCTTTTTTCTCTTTTTGTTCTTTGATATATATATATATATCCCCTGTGTTCTCTTCCGGGGCTCGTCTTCTTTAAGCTAATTGATAGAATGAATCTCCTCTTTCAACGAGTTTTTTTTTTTCTTTTAATTGGCTGGCGGAAATATTTTCTGGAAAAATTATAAAAACAAAAATTTCGGAACAAATATTTAAATTAACAAATAAATATTTTACTTTTTTTTTAACTAAGTTAAAAACTATTAATGTTAATATTATATTGATACTAGTAATATGTTGTTAATATATTTTTTCCTTTTTATATTTTGTCGATTTTTTTGCGATATTATTGCGACATTGATTAGATGTCGGATTAATGGATATACGAAAATGTCATCGGAAATACTGACATATTGACAAAAATAACTTGAGTCAAACTTCACCACCGATGATTGAGAATGGTACCTACTCGTTAACGTTTTGACGAAATGTTGTTGTATGGTTGAGGTCAAAATTTTATCTTTTGTGCCTTGTTTTTTTTATCTTAGTACAAGATGTGGTGGTAGAGAATTGAATTCACAAACGATTCGGTGGAGATATATATCAATTATTGTTGAGTTATGTTCGCTTTTGCTGGATTTCTTTGTTAATATTATCAACAATAGAAGACTAATCTAATTACGGAGACTAAATTTACGATTGAATTTCATCTTTTATTAATGTAATTTCATTATAGTTTTGTAACTTAAAAAAATGTTTATTTTACTTACCCTCTCGCTCAACTACCCTATTTGGTTTCAGCTCATTAATATTTTTATAATTTAGTAAGAGAGAAATATAAAAACATAAATATTTTTTTCTATTGGTAAAAAATTTATAAAGCTGTGCAATAACTACATTAGTTACTTTTTCAAATTGAATAACTAAAATAAAATAACGATAAAAGTTTAAATAATAAAGTAAACCTTTCCAAAGTTCTTAAACAGAAAGCCTAGAAATTAAAATAGAATTTAAACAATTTTTTTTATTAATCAGTCCCTTTAAAAATTGTTATTAGTACTTGAAAAAGTTGTAGTTGTACAGTTGTGTATTATGTTGCTTAAATATTAAACAAATTCCATGAATAAAACAAAGTTGCTTGGCCATCACGACTTTTCAATAACTTTGGAATTGGGAAAGTTTGGAGTGTTCTTTGGTTCATGACTTTTGTGTAAACATATCAAAATAATATTCCTCATTATTGATTTCCAGTATAAAAAATATGTGTACCACAAAATAAATATATTTTAATTATTAATGTTCGAGAGTTTTTTCAATTAATTTAATCTTTATTATTTATAAATTTTTAATTTAGTTGTTTATATTTTAACATTTTTTCAATAATATTGACAAATGTTAAAATTTCGCTGAGGAACAATGTTATCTTAAAGGGGAAGGGGAGAATTTCTCATTTCTTTAGATTTCTAAAAAGATGAGTAGAAATTTCGAGTTTCCTTTGATGACTTTTTTATTTCTAAGTTTCTATAACTCGCCAAGTATTATGTCACGTAAGTTTATCATCATCCATGTTAACATTTACCAATAAAAATAGATTGAATTGAAAAGATGTTAAAACATAAGATACTAAATTGAAACTTTTTAAATAATATTAAACTAAATTGAAAAACTCTCAACCATTTAGGATTAAAATATATATTTAGCCTAAAAATAAGTGTATAGTATACTGGTAAGATCGACTAATATTCTATAGTTTTTTTTTCCTCTAATCCTAAGGTTCGCCTTTTAGTTTATGTTTTTTCCCCTAATAATCATCTCTCGAATGTTTAAACTACAAGAGTGTCAATCACATTAAAATTATTTTTTTTAGGCAAACTTGAACATAATTCAACTGGTGAAAACATAGAGGTTAGAATCCCCACATCCACATGTTGCTGAACTCAATAATATTAATAATATTATTTTTTGGATAATCATCTCTCAATACAAAAAAACAAAAATTGAATCATCCAATTTTTTAAAACTATTATCTCCCCCTATTATTGCAGTTTGTAGTTCCTTTGGATCAATGAGCCACCATGACGATTATTCATAAAAACCAAGATTCAGTACCTAAAGACTACTATATTTCCGTATAACTGTAACATCCTAAGTTGTTTTCGTGATTGACTATTTAAAAACATACGTCTTCTTATGAACTAACTTAAAATTTCCCCAACCTCAGCATGATGAATTACGAGGAAGAAAGATGCATTTTTTTTTTTAACATTGAAAGATGCATTTTGTTACTACATGCAGTGTTTGTCAATTTTGTAACGTTAAACTTGACTACAAAGTTTTATATCGTTCATTCATCTCCATCTAGAAGTTGTGTCAGCTCTACTGTGTCACATCAAGAAAAATTTGTCTCTTTTATGGGAGCTTTGTATAATGTCATTCTAATATAACATTAAGGAAAAAAAAATTAGTGTTGGATTTTAGAATTCTTCCTTTTTGATGCGGGAAAAGAAAAGTGATAATTTTTTTAGTTTAACTATTGCTAATGTGAGAGATCAAACTATCGACATTTTAGATGCACGAACTAAATTATGCTCAAATTAATATATAGATTAGTTTCTTTTTTTTGTTATTTAGTGTAGTTAATTTGTTAATTTTGAATTAAACCAAATTCTGGTCAAACAAAGGAGATGTCTCCTAGAATGAGAGAAACTCATAAATGAATTAAATTTACCAAATCCATTAGCTTAAACTTTTGGATTGAGCGGTGGTTTATTCATTTTTAAGAAAATCAATTAACCAAATTAGACTAATACCTGCCTCTTTTCCCACATCACAAAGACTTTAATTGCCTTGATTAAATTATCAAACAATTTGTTGTTCAAGTTCATTCTTCGTTTGTTGCATGAATATTATATTTGCTACCAAAGAGAGAGCACTCATGTTATAGAACCATATAATTAGGACTTTGGTTTTGTTTTATCTATCAATTAATATGATTTTTTTTTTAAATCCGTGTGTCCGGGTCAGCTTGCGCATCTTGACTAATCACGGGCCAATCCTACCACATTTGGTTGACAAGGTAACTCGTAGGATATTAAATCCTAGGTAGGTGACCACCATAGTTTGAATTCATTTCCTTTGAATCATTTGCTCTTTATATTGGTTCTTATTGACCACTAGATCAATAAGAACATGATATTAATTAAGATACATTTTTTTTGTGAAACATAATCTATCTTTGATCGTTTTTTTGTTTTCTCCCAAATTTTCTTTCTCTAGATTACCCATGCACAACTCGTCAGTCAGAATTTTTCATTCAACAAAATCTTAATCGTTTTATTGTTTGATTTCATATAGGCAAATTGCATGTATCTATGGCATCAACTTAGAAATTAAAAAGAAAACAACTTAACATAAATCGAGTTTTGAAAAACTAAATAGTCCAACCACATGGGAATTTGATAACTCAATTGTTTCCCATCGCTCATCTAGGTTAAACCATGGGCCATCTTGTTTGCCAGCTCTCGACGAATACGTCTCGTTGAGGCTATTTCCATATATCTTCCATCACCTACCAAATTTCTTTTAGAAGCAAACTAATTTCAGCTTGTTCTTCACATTGTCCGTTAAGGATACGAATCGTTTCGAGAGAGTCAGATTCCAAGTGAATCGGTCGACGGTGTTCTTGTCAAATCACATGGAGTGTACTTTGATGCTGCATCACCATTTTGTCAATTAATTTTAAAGTTTTGTGATAATAATAACTCAATTGAAGAAAAAAAAAAGAGATGAAATTTAAACTTATAAAAAATTAGGAACCGAATCTTAGATTACTAGCTAATATATTTATTTAATTATTATTAAGGGTCTGGTCAATCATATAAAATTCCTGTTGTCTCCAAATCTTCCAAAGACATTGAGGAAGATTTTGGGGACTTTCTAGAATGTAAGAAGTTCTCAAATTCACACGTATTAAAATATTACAAACTTGATTTGTCTCCGCCCTTTTCTACTTTCCTTCATTTGTTTTCTATACTTTTAAAATGTTCATTTGAATAGGATCTCTATAATTTCTACTTTTGTAATTCTTGTACTTTTAAAACGTTCATTTTAGTCGATGTAATTTTTAAAAAGGGATCAAGATCAAAATAATTGAGATAAAAATACAAATGAAAATATCAGAATAGACGTTCCGAAAATACATAGACTAAAATGAACAAAAGTTGAAAGTACAAGATTAAAATAGACGTTTTAAAAGTACAAGTACCAAAATAAACCAAAGCTGGATTCGAACCTTCGACCACAGATTGGCTAAAGCTGTCTAAACTTATCATTTAGGATAATAATTAATTAACATTCTTTCGAAGACATTACAATATGAAGTTTGAAAATGATAAATTAAAAAATTATATACGAAGATGGGAACAAGGATGGTCAATAGATTGAAATTGAATCCATCATATATTCATATTCAATTTTGTATGAATACAGAATTATATATTAATTGGGTACCCTTTTTTCTTTCTTTTTT